TGGTGCTGGGGGATTGAACCGCGGTCCCTGATGCCTTGCCAAGCTTGTTCTAAGTAGGTGCTTTAGACCACTGAGCCATCTCTCCAGCCCCTTGGCTTAGGTTTTGAAGAGCGGGTAGGAGTTTTCTGGCTAGGAAGGGCCTTGGGACAGCAGCTAACAATAAAGAACAGTGGTGGGAACAAGTCTGAGGGCCAAGGCACAGGCTATAAGGAGAGCAAAGGACGCAGAGCTGCAGGAGGGGTCCAGAGCATGGGTCGGGGGTGGGGCAGGGCAGTCACACAATCCAGCCCTGTCTGCTGGCTTAAAGACCCATCTCCGAATAAGACGACTTGCAGTGGCTCACTGGTGAGCACTTGCCCAGTGCTTGGGAGGCCCTGGGTTCTGGCTCTGGCGCCGGGAGAGGTAGCAGGAAGAAGAGACAGAGCGCAGCGCTGCTGCCGGGTGCGGCTGGGGGGTCCCCGGAGGCCCCAGTGACACCACTCCTCCCGCAGCCCAAGCAAGGCCAGCCTGTATGGAGCGGTGCTCTTCACGCTGCAGCAGACACGCTGGCTGCCCATGTCCAGGGCCACCCTCATCTTCCTCTTCACCATGTTCATGGTGTCCTGCAAGGTGAGCCCTCCTGCCTCAGTCTCCCTGACAAGCCTGTGGGATGGGACTGAGGAGGAAGGCTGCAGTGGGTGGAGCCTGGCCCTGCAGCGACATCAGGTCCTGAGGGATCTCCCTTGGTGGGCAGTGGCAGGGTCCCGCAGGTGGACAGCCTAGCAGTGACAAGTTCATTCATCCCTCATGGTTCTGGAGACAAAGTCTGGGGCCAGAAGCCTAAATGTGGGGCCAGCCAGGTGAGGTGGCGTGTACCTGTAATACCAGCACTCTAGGAGTCTGAGGCAGGAAGGTCCTGAGTTCAAGACCAGCCTAGGGAGCTGAGGAAGTTAGGGAGACCCTGCCTGAACCGCACAGATACAGAGGTGGTGACAGAGGTCAGGCATCGTGCTCCATCCCCACCCCCTGACCTCATGAGCCCAGTGTGGAGCCCAGGGGCAGAGCAAGGAGGGGCCCAGGCCTGCAGGTGAATGGTGCCTGCCTCACTGACTTGCTTCCTCTTTGCCTCTGGCTCGGTTTCCCTCTCTGTCCCTGCCCAGGTGTTCCTGACAGCCACCCACTCCCACGGGTCCCCATTCGACGTCCTGGAGGGCTATGTGTGTCCTGTGCTATTTGGGACAGGCTGGGCTAGTGACCACCACCATGACAACCACGGCAGCCCACACAGCGGGGGCCCGGGTCCCCAGCACTGCCCAGCAGCCAAGTCCAAGGAGGAGCTGGGCGAGGGCTCCCGGAAGAAGAAGACCAAGAAAGCGGATTAGGGGCAGCCTTGGGGCTCCATGGGGGCCCTGACCTCTGCATGTGCCCCAAGGCGGGGTGGAATGAGAGGGCTCTGTCCTCCTCCTCGAAGCCCGGGGGTCCCAGGTCCAGCGCCTCCAGCCAGAGCCCTGGCCCAGATGTTCCTGGTCTGTTTTATTTTCCTCTGAAATGGCTTTTTTTTAGGGCTCTTTTCTTCTTTGGTACCAGGAGTTGAACTCAGGGCTTCATGCCTGCCAGGTAGGCGCCTCGCTGGTGAGCTATGCTCAGCCCTGAGCTTGGTTCTTGACTCCAAGACTCTCAGAAGTACTCGCTCACCCCTCAGTGACGCCACCGCCACCTGGGCTGTGCTCTCAAAGCCTCTTCCGGCCCAGACTCTGGGCCCAGGGCTGCTGGGCGTCCCAGGCGAGTTGCAGCCCATCTCCGGGCCTCTGGCCTGTATGGCAGTAGAGACCTCTGAACTCCCCTGCACAGAAGGGCTGCTGGAAGATGGCCAGAGAAGGGTTCTATAAACCTTGAGCCCCATGGGGTCCAAGAGAGACCCTCAGTAGACACCTCTAGGCTGGGCTGGAGAGGCTGAGGTGGCCGCTGGCCTCATGCTGCCCCAAACCAAAGAAGTGTGGCCAGTGGGGCGGGGCCTCCGAGCCCTGGCTGTGCGTTTGAGCCCCAGAAGCATCGGGCCTTCCTCATGCTTCACTGATGCCCATTTAGTCACTCAACAGGCACCCTGAATCTCCTCTGGGAGCGGGGCGATGGTGGTGAGCAAGGGGGACAGCAGCTCCTCGTCTTGACCTTCATCACCAGGACGTCCAGGAGGGGTGAGCGGGTCCCCGCGGCGCCCGCCTGGTGGGAAAGTGCCTTGCTGCAGTGGTTTCCAGGTGGCCATGCAGCCGGTCTCTGCCTGCTGAATGCCCAGTCCAGCCCAGATCAACCAATAAACCCGCTGTGCAAGACCCTTGCAGTGCTCCGGTTCTGGTGACCTTGGGACGGCGACCTGGCAAGGCCTCTCAGGAACAGGACCTCAGGTCCTGGTGGAGCAGGTTTGAGCTTTCAGAGTGGGGCGCAGCTGTGGGGTTCACTGAAGACACTGCTGGACAGAGTTGTGGGGCTGCGATGAAATCCTGGAACTGGGTGCTCAATCAGGACTGGAGGGCTGTTATTAGCGTTTGGTTTTGGTGCTGGGAATCGATCAGGACCTTGCGCTCTCCACCACCCACCCCCAGAAATCCTTTTGATTTTTGAGGCAGGCTCCCTAAGGAGCCCAGGCTGTGCTCTAACTTTCAGTCCTCCTGGCTCAGCCTCCCAGCCTTTGGGAATCCCAGGCCTGGGCCACCGCCACACCTGCTGAGGGCTCTTCGGTAACAAAGGCGCTCCCTTGTGTACAGGCTCCGACTCGGGTTGATGATCTGTGACTGTACAGCCCTCCAGACAACACCACACCTCCCCTGTAGGACTGGGCCCCAAAGCACGATTTGATCGGGGGCACAAACCGCCACACCAGAGCACCTCTTAGAGGAAGTTGTGGGGTGTGACCGTGCAGGCGTGTAAGCCCAGCATTCTGTAGGCAGAGGCGGAAGCGGATAGCCAGGCCTGTCTCAAACCCACGAACACCCCCCAAATGAAGCCCCCCATAGGTGTTGTACCTGACAGTAGGTGAAGATCCAGGACATACAACTCCCAAAACTCACTAATCTGGCTCCTCAAGAAATTCTCCTCCTGCAGGGAGGCAGGAGAATCACTGTGACTTTGAGACCAGCTTGGGCTACAAAGTGAGCTCAAGTCCAGCCTGAGCTGCATAGAGAGACCCTGGCTCAAAAAGACCAAAAAAAGGGCTGGAGAGATGGCTCAGTGGTCTAAGGCACCTACTTAGAACAAGCTTGGCAAAGCATCAGGGACCGCGGTTCAATCCCCCAGCACCACATGCCAGCCAGCCCCGCCCCCTGGTGGGCTGAGCTGGCCACACACACACACTACTGTCTCTCTCTCTCTCTCTCTCTCTCTCTCTCTCTCTCTCTCTCTCTCTCTCTCTCATAAATAAAAAATAATAAAAAAAAAGACCAAAAAAAGAAAGAAAAGAAATTAAACAGAATTCTAATAGGATCCAGCCACCCACCTTTGTGTGTTACCCTGCCCATGCCTCAGCGCCCTTTTTTCCCTTTACTTTGTGGTACTGGGCATGGAACCTGGGGCTCACACATGGGAAGCCAGTGCTTACACCCCAGGCTTCATTTTATTTCGAGTCAGGGTCTCACTCAGTTGCCCAGGCAGGACTCCAACTTTCCATCCTCCGGCCTCAGCCTCCTGAGGTGCTGGGACACCAGACGCATGTCCCACGCCCACCAGAACCAATGGCACCCAAGCCCCCTGCAGCGATGGCTGCGCTGCAGATGCTGCCAGGGCTGCGTGGAAGCCCCACCTGGGCCTGGCCAGCTTGGGCAGCTGCACTGGGAGCGCCGAGGGCACCAGAAGAGTGGCCTGGCCTGTTCTGGGAAAAGGCGGAGGCGGGCGGGGCTGGGCCTCTGTCACCTGTGGGTAGGCTGGCACCAGGGCCACTGAAATCCGGCGAATTTTAGCTCTGGAGCCAGGCTCGGTATTGTCTGGACTTGAGGGCGCCCTTCAGTAACCCCAGCACTCAGGGAGGCTCAGGTAGAAGGACTGTAGATCTGAGTTCTGCCTGGGCAACGTAGCGAGAACTGTCTCAAAATTAAACACAAAACTTTTTCATTGTTTTGCTTAGTTTTCCTTTTTTGAGACAGGGTCTTGCTACATAGCCCAGGCTGGCCTCACATTTGTAGCAATCCTCCTGTCTCAGCCTCCTGAATGCTGGGATTACAGGAGTAAGCCAGTGTGTCCGGTTTAAACTTTTTTCTTAGCACATACACACACATTTGCTTAGACCTACGCAAGGTTGGAATTATTAAAGTTACCACGGCCTCTGGGAGGTCCTCAGGAAGAAGGGTGGTACCATCTCAAGGGACCTGCCTGAGCTGCTCAGGGCTTTGTGGCAAACTCGTTCCTGTGAGTAGACACACAAAAGAGATCAAGAACAGCCCAGGGGGGCCTTGTGATAGCTCAGGGGCCTAAAGCATCTGCTTAGGCAAACTTAGGCAAGTGTGCAGGGACTGTGGTTTGATCCCTGTCACCACAAGCTGTGCCAGCCCCACCCCCAGGGCAGGCTGAGCTGGCCACACACACACACACACACACACACACACAGAGCTGGGTGAGTGGCACAAGCCTGTAATCCCAGCACTTAGTTGGCTGAGGCAGGAGGATTTGTTGCAAGTTTGAGACCAGTCTGGGCTACAAAGTGAGCTCAAGGCCAGCTTGAACTGCATAGCAAGACCCTGTTTCAGAAAAAAAGAAAAAGAAGAAAGAAAATCAAGAGCAAAAATATGGCGCCATAAGAATAACAATAGGAATGTATTAATTATTGAAACCGTCCTACAAGTTTGATTTGAAAAAAAGAAAGAAAATTAAAAAAGGGGGGGGGGGTCTGGCCCTAGCTCAGTCCTTTAAGTGGCTGCTTCCACAAAGCTGTCAGCCTCAGGTTGCTGGAGTTCGAACCTCACAACTCTCCTGCTGACCAAAAGTGCCCTGAAGGCATTCGAGGAACAAAAAAAAAAAAAAAAAAAGAATAACTAGGGCTGGGGAGGTAGCTCCACAGTGTAAGCACCTGCCTAGGAAGCACAAGGACCCAGGTTCAATCCCAGGTACCACATGCCATGCTGGCCACCAAAACCAGGCATGGTGGCACATACCTGTGCTGGAGAGGCTGAGACAGGAGCATCACTATGCGTCTAAGCTGTGTAGTGAGCCCCTGTACCAAATAAATAAGCAAAAAAAGATTAAAAAAAAAATAAGGTGAGGGAAAGCAAATCTTGTAGCAAGCCGGCAGGAAACAGAACAGAGGCTTTTCCCAGAGTGGAGATTTGGTCCCCCACCCGAGGCAGTCGGCACCTTTTTAGAATACCGATTGCTGCCGCCTGTCCCTGGGAAAATATGTGGGTACAATCCTTTCTCTATCCTGAGGCCCGACCTTTAGCGATTCCAGTCACTGCTGGCTTCTACCCTGACTTGGTCCAAAGGCCCAGTGCTGTCTGACTGTCTAGAATATTCCCAGATAACTCAGCTCTCTGTAACCCTAGCACTCTGCAAGGCTGAGGCAGGCTTGCAAGGTCAAGGCCAGGCCAGGAAGCATTGTGAGACACTGTCTCAAAACAAGCAAGCAACTGCGTAAGCACTTCGGCCTGTAACATAGTTTATTGTCATTGTCAAGTATGAGCTATTGTGCATCGTTATATGATTGTGCTTTGGTTTTTGTTTTGGGTAGTAGAAATTGAACTCAGGACCTTGCGCTTTCCAGGCAGACACTGTGATGCTGAGCTATGTCCCCAGCCCATGTGCTTTTGTGTGTGTATTTATTTATTCATTTATTCATTTATTGAGGTAGAGGAGATAGAACCCAGGGGCCCTGTACCAGTGAGCTACATCCAGGCCCCTTTTAAACTTTTTTTTTTTAATTTTGAGACAGGCTCTCACCAAGCCTGCTCAGGCCAACCTTGAACTCTTCATCCTCCTGCCTCAGCCTCCTGGCTAGCTGGGATGTCTGGTGTGTACCCTGGCTCCACGTGGGCCTGAGCTTTCATAAGGCCCAGATGCAGTGGGTCTGTGCACCAGGGTCCCCAAACAGGCAGGGAACTAGTGACTGCCCCAATGTCCCAGGCAGCAGAACTTCTCCATTCCCTGATAATCTGAGGGGCCCATCCTGGGCATTGGGCTCATGGCGGGAGGAAGTGAGGCCCACCTAGAGGTCACTCCAGTGTCATGGGCAGAGAATGGCTCAGGGGGGCGAGAACTGCGAGGAGCAGGAAGACAGAGACCACCGGGCCAGGGCTCAGGCAGCACGGTGTGGAAAATGGTGTGAGTGGGTGCCAGCAGGCGGAGGGCAGAAAGGCCGTCTGTCAGGAGCGAAGAGAAGGGGGATTTCTAATAGGGCTGGAAGGAAGGCAAGGGGCATCCGGTGGGGAGATCTTAGTAAACCTTGGTGGTCACAGTTCGCCGGGCGTTGCATGCCTTGGCGGCAGAGGCCCCGAGGTGTCAGCTGTGCATATGTGGGTGTCTTCAGACGGCCTGTGTCTGGACATTTCTGTGCTTTATTTGCTGTCATCTGTGACATCCTATGTTTGCCAGGGACAGGGGTGCTGACACGGGAACAATGCCTCTGCTGGGAGACAGGTTGGGTCCTGGGAGAGTCAGGTCTCAATTGAGGGTGATAAGGGCCAGGGGCCAGGATCAACACAGTCCTCTCAGAAGCTGTCTGTCATACCACCTGAACAAATCCAGCCCAGGACTACACCGATAAGCAGGTGTTTCACCCAAGCAGCTTCTCACCTTCATTTTATGGAAGAACAGTGGGGTTTATGTCAGGTGCAGCAGCCCACAGCTGTGTTCCTAGCAACTGGGAGGCTGAGGCGGGAGGACCACAGCTCTGAGCCGTGCCTGGGCAACTTATCGAGACCCTGTCTCAAAGTAAAAAGTGAAAAGGGCCTGGGCTGCTGCTGGGTGGCGTGCACTGGTGCAGCGTGTAGAGACCTGGGGTTTCAGCCCCAGCATGAACAAATGGAAACTATCTCTGTGATGAAATGAGTGGGTGTGGGCAGATGTTGCTAGCAGAACAGAGTCCAAGTCCTGTGTGGTCCCAGTCCAGCTGTGCGCTCGTCTGATTCTCCCTGAGAAGCCTGAATTCCCTTGGTCATCCTGAAGGACGCTACACCAACATCTTCCCAGGCACCAGCAACTCCAGCTGGCACAGCAGTTAGAGATAAGGTTAGGTTGCGTTTCCCCAGTGCTTTCTCCTTGGTGCCTGGCTGCATGCATCTGGGGCTGTCCCAGCCCGTCAGTGGCAGAAATGAACATCGAATGGGCCCACGCGAGCCAGCAGAAGGGTCAGCGTGC